TAATTTTAGCAGCATCTGCAGATCCCGTGTGTACTAGTGCCGCACTACTCTCTTCGGAAGTTCCTCGCCACATATCTAATGCCGATATACCACAATACACGTCCCGCAAACAATGTGTCTAACGCAGACAGTGCACACCGCGCGCGCACCATATACTCATAGTCAAACAAGACGTGTCCATCTCAACTTCCAAGGTCTCTATCGCGAGACTAATCGTTCGGTCACAAATCAACGGTCGAATAAAAAATGATTATCTTAACGGCAACACAGTGATGATTTTTAGGTAGCGCGTGATCAACACACACTCGTTTTCAGATAATACGATAATAACTCAACTGTTGTATTTCGTTTAACTTCTATAATATTGATTATTTTTATCCTAGAGCCGTCGTATTAATATATATAATTACCATATTATACATACATATTCTATCACATTTTCCTGTTTAATTCCATACATTCCCATTAACCTCACAGTGAATAAACATATTTTATCTACCGTGAAAATCTGGAAAACCGAATAATTATGCCTATTCGTATATAAGAAAAAAATACAGAACGAATTAAACACGGTACCTAGTTTTTATCTTTCTCGGATACTTTGTTCTAACGTAAAAATATATGAAATACGCTAATGCCTAATGTTAACGACCACATATCGTTGAAAAATAATAAAAATTTTATTCACGATTCAATTATAAACAAAAAAGATTTGAATTTTGAGCACATAAAAACGATTTGATTGATACTCAAAAGTAAGCTTACATCATCTTTAAAAAATATATCTATTGATTTAAATTATAAAAAATGATAGATTTTATAGAATTACTTGCAAATAACTACATGTATTTCAAGAATATTTAAAAAAAAAATTTCCTGTAGATATGTGCTCATATTTTTATTTATTTAGAACGCATCTCAAACCAAATTTTAATATATATATTTTTTTAAGCCCAACTATGATAATCATACAATCAATAGATTTTAGTAAGACTTATATGAAAATAGTTAAATAATTGTTGAAAATATTAAATTTATAAGAAAACCGAAAAATATTATTGCCAATCATTTTAACTATTGAATTACGTTAACAATTGATTTAATGAAATAATATAAATTATATGCTTATCCTACAAATCCAGGTATCAAACAAAACTAAATAAAAACGTACCTAAGTAATACATGTGCCACGTCATAAATCCACGAATGAGGTATGCTTTTAATTTCTTTCTTTGTGATTTAAACAAACCTGAATCTATATCAACTATCAAGTGTTTTTTTTAAAAATCGCCAAGTTAAGTCAACAAAACCAATATTATAATATTATACCTGCTCTAACCTAGTATACGGACAACCTACGAGTAGATAGACACGTCAACAAGTGGTGGTTACAGGATATTATTTTAATTCACACGGTTTATTTAGTGCAGTATACCTACACTAAATAAATATGCAATATAATATTAAACCCATTTGATTGATCAGATATTCTACATAACAAAATACCCAAATGCCCATTGAAGCCGAAAAGTAGCTAATATATATAGGACATAAATATATATTAAATATAATTTTAGGCATGTATATTATCGTCATGCGCACCACTCATTAGTATTACACCATTAACATAATGTAGAGATTTTTCGATCAGTTGTCGTGATGCTGCCTGCAATCTGTAACTTATAAGACGGCACGCCATAGATATATATTATGTTATCTACGCATTGCCGACGGGCAATGATATGTGTTGGATAGAATAAAACCCGTTTTGCCGATTAAAATATTCAAAGAAGTGCTATCATATATAATGTTATTCATAGGCGAAATCATCATAAACAATCTATGTGAATATATTTATATATACTGAATTTGACTGCAGTCAGTTGTATATATACTCGTACGATATATGTTATTCATTAACGCACCAGCAAATTTCTCCGAATCCAAATATTTTTTCTTAAAACATAATCATCTCACCAATATCGGTATCAGAAATAGAATCAAAAGCCCAAACAAATATAACTAAAATATCATACTATGTAAAAAACTGTTTGATGGTATGTCATGTTTTTTTACAAACTCATAAAGATAACTGTTCCTAAATATAGTCCAATAATTTTCAAAAATTTCAACGAGAGTGGCTGTCTTAATCGAATTTCGCTTATAAAAATATAGTTTCTTGAATATGTGATTAATGGTTATTTAACTTTGCTCTCGTAGGTATTTTATAATAATAAAATGATTGACCTACGTCCTACACTGTAAACAATTGGCAGTTTGGTCTTTTCCTCTAACTATAATATATAACTACCTAATTATCAGTATTGAAAAATGAGGTGTTTTTTTAATTCATTAAGTATTTATAGAATACAACAACACATGTTTATATCTGTATATAATATTATTCAATAAAATGACCAAATTTGTTAAAAAGAAGAGAAATAATCAAAAAAACTTTAGATCGATTTTCAAAATACCAATGTTTATATTAGCTATGATATAGATAGGTAATGTATAATAATTTTCCAAAATCTGAAACCTACCTACGGATATCGTTTTCAATCAAACTAATAGAATTGGATACAAATTGCTTAGATACCAATTAACATTATACACATCTAATTTTTACAATATCGTCAGACTTAACAAATAATAATTCTCATGAGATATAATGAATTTATTTAATTATTATAATATTATTTATTACAATCGTTGCATTATTTTCATCTAACTGACTATATCACTTCCCTAGTCAATTTTTGTATATTTAAAAAAATATTATTTTATAGTTGTATATTTACAAGTTTATAATATTTTACAAAAAAAAAAATCTAATATTTTACTTTCTATTACTATTATATTATTATTTCCGACTTTTGCGGAGTACTAACCTTTTAATTTTACTCCGCTCATCTAAACTTTGAAAGTTAATTAATAATAATTATTTATTCAATATCTATTTTGATATTTATATATCAATATAAAATATTCTAAAAAATGTATTCTACTTCTTATTGTTAAATTGATAATATTATAGATTATTAATAACAATATCACCACAAACATTTTTTTTTTAAATGATGTTTTTAAAAAAAAACGTGTTATAATATCTTTCAATGTTTTAACTATTATCAACATTTTTTTGAAATATTTAAACATTGACTTAACTAAAAAATTATTTTAACTGGATTACAAAATATATCTACACTTGTAAGAAAATGTCTAACTAGAAAACTGTGATCAAGGTACCTCTCTTATTACTAACGACTAAATAGTAACTATTTACTAGTATATTATATAATATGTGTCTGCAAACCTATATATAATTATATTATAATTTCGATCTAATTGATTTAGGTGAATGTACATGGAAATTGAGGACATTTGATATTCTTGATTTTAATTTATACTTATACTTAATATTTAATATGCTAATTACTACAAAACGTTTTTCGTCATAAATTTCTATTTGAATAATATTGTAGAATATTTAATTGTATTGACTAACGAGTTACTCGTGTAATTTTGTTCTAGTAAAACACCTCGTAGACAGTTTGTAAAATCAATTTCTAGAAAAAAAAAAAAAGTTTGTATTTATATAAAATTAATACTGAGCAGTAAATATTTGACGATGGTGTATTAAATAGAGCATAATTTAATTATCTATAAGATTAACAACCGCGATTGCATTTAAAACTTTAAATTAATGCATTCACGAGCAATCAATTAATAATTTATTAAATATACAATAATGAATTACATTTTTAAGTGTGGTTGAATTCGTTATTTTTAATAAAATAATCATACTTTTGTAATTTCATATATCTATATAAATTTACTTTATATTGATCTATAACCTACATGCTACATTACTTTATTTTGGCGTTATTCATTATTTGTTTGCGTATCATAATAAACGACACAATTATATTACCTAGGTTAAGGTATTTCTATTAATTTTATATAAATACTGAAAACCATTTTAACATTAGAAATAACTTATTCGTAATGACTGCCATTTTATATTAATTGATTTTTTTAAATTATTTGTATAAAACAATTAGCCATTTTATTTAATTTGTATGTATAAAGACTTCAAAATATTCAAACAAACATGTAACAAAAATATCGTTTTAGTTTTTTCGTTTAGCAAATCGGTAATATTTATCCATTATGTACGCATACTATTGAGTCATTATTATCTTATCAGTAACCTAATCTAACATTAGTACCTATCTTAGATATGTCTATATTTTGTATACAAAACATTTTAATAACACTTATATAGGCTTACGAAATTCGTGTCTATTGTACGTTGCAAATAGAGTCGATAAAACTTTTCATCGTACGTCGACCCAACCGTTTATTGATCTATAAAGAACAATAATATTAAATAGTCGTTGAACTATAGTCACTAAATTATCGATTGACAACAAATCTCAATATCTCGTCGCGTCCCACAGACTACGTGGAGTCTGCGGGAGACTTTAACGCGTCACCTATTCGACCGACTATGGCAGACAACTGCTTGTTCGTTCGCATCATCATATAATAATAAGTATTAATTTATAAAACTGTACGTACAATTTAATAAAATCAAATTATCACGTCCCGTTTAACACGTGAAGTTCTAATAAAAACTATGAAACAATATAATACACTTATAATCTGTTATATAATGTATATGTATTATTATTATTCATAAATCTATAGAACATAACTCGATTTTATTATTTATACAAGCTAAATAATCAACAAGCGTTACTTTTAAGTAACGTTTTCTTTATAACTGCGGATAATAAATATTGCGTGTAGCGTAATTACTGCTATTCTAGAGGTAAAGTATTATATAAATGGTGTCTAGCGGTACGATCAACCCGAATATGGGTTATTGTACCGAAATAAACCAATAATAATTTTAGAAACCGACGGGCGGTGTGACAGCTAGTGAAAATGTCGTCGATATTGACATTATTTTAGTCAGTGCTTGCAAAACTAACCTGCGCGTGGGTGAAATGTCACGCAGTATTTGAGTGGCGTTGCACTATAAATTATTATCCTTGCGGGCGAATCGTCAAGGGTAGTCGACCAACTTTCAACTTGTTGATGGAATACGAACAATTAAAAAAAAAAAACACACATAAACACACGCACGCACGCACACACTCTTTAAGTTGGAATAAAAACTGAATAAAAAAAAAGTAGCATTAAATAAATAACTGTTCGATTAAACGCGTCCGCGTCGAACCATCGTATACGCGCGCGCGGGATACGTTCTACCGACGTGATAGTGTCCGGACGAATGCCAGGCGTCGGCAGCTAGTGGTCGGACGTGTGCAACCGGAATACACGAACTCCTGGCCGGACAGAGGCGGCGGCGGCAATGGCCTTCGATGACGACGACGACTACGATGAATAATAATAATAATAATAACACGGCGGCGTATACGACGGAGTGAAAGAAACGCAAGCGCGCGCACGAACACACGAAACCCGTATATAAAACAAAATTATATATATATATATAGATACACATACTATTACATACTATAATACTACGATATAATGTATTATGTGGAACTGCAGAGCCATACAGGTAATAAGTTCGTCGTTCCATCTCACACGCACCCAACGTGTATGGCAGTGGTGGGGACGTGTATATTGTTATTATTAACGTAGTAGTATTTTAATGCGCGTAAAACCTAAACCATAGTAGTGTTTACGAACGCGAGTCCCTAACCCCGCTGGTTGCTACGGTGCGGTTCCCACAAGCAAGTCTTCACCCCCTTCCACAACCGCAGCAGTAATCGTAATATCGTCGCGCTCATGCGTACGTGTGTATACAAAACGAAACATTGTAAACAAATTATACACACCACTACACCACACTATAATACCATACCCGTACAGCGATGAAACTTTGATAAGTCGAAGTTTATTAGAAACAGAATTTTCTCGTCTTATCGGCATTTCGGCTTAAAGAGGTTGTGTTTAAAATTTAAATATTTAATTATTTATTAGATTTAATATGTAAAACGTAATTTAACTTTCTTAACTACAGTTCTACAACACCTATACGTGATATTCACTCATGAGTTAAGATCGATAATAATTTATGGCAGGGGTCACCAATTAATATTTTTGAAGGGCCACAATAGGAATCTGAAAATTTTTCGCGGATCATCGAAATTCTAAGTAGGTACATATTTTTAACACATGAAAGGTAGGTATTATTTTAAAATTGGATATAATGAGAACAGTATATACATATATATATTATGTTATTTATTCTTTGTCTGCCGACCACCATTTGATTTGTGGTCAACGTACCATAGTAATAGAAAAATAAATTACTAATAGTTCCGACTTATTATTAATCAATTATAAAATATCATTAGAAATATAGGAGGACGACAGTGTCCGGTCAAAATTGTTTTTCGTACACGATTTATCATTAAATTTAAATCTAATTCATCCATTACAGTAACCTACTCAATAACGACACAGAATAAAAGGTTTTTTTTTTTTTATTTATTTAAAATAAAGGCTTCAACATCATCAGGTTATTAGCCTACGATTACAACAAAAGTTTACAAAGATAATATAATATATACAGATATTTACAGTTTAAGGTATTATCGAGGTTGACGACAACACCTACCATACAAATGAGTGACTTTCCTTCCTGGCATTTTTTCATTTTTTTTTTTTATTAACCATATTATTATACTGTATCTGTCTGGCTCACGATTTCGTACCACGATATCTAAAGTCTACCGATATGGGTGCATTGCGTAGTCCACGGAGGGCGTGTACAAAACGATACAATAATATTAATATACTGAATAGTATCAATTATAATATAATATGCATTAATATAGGTAAGTAAATACTAAATGTATACTGTTATATAGATACTGTGCACATGGTCATATTGACTTCAACTTCAAAAAAATAAAAATCCTTACAAACCACAAAGTTATTTATTATCATTACTATTTGCTATTATTATACGTTAGGCTGCAAGCGGTAACTTGACCGCATTCCGGTGCCGTATTCGTGTTATCTGCAGTAGTTATACAATTGCAAGTCTTCAATGGTGGAAGGCACAAACGAGAATAACGGTGTCGCGTATATCGCATGATCTATATAATTATTTAATTATTGACACAGCTGGACTAGTTGTTTTTGTTATTGTTGTTGTTCTATACATGATAATAATATTATAATAAATCAAGGACCTACAATATAAGCGATACGATTACTCTGCCGAACGTGTCACAAAATCCGTGTACCATAGAACATTGGAGAGAATTACATCGGAAAACACGAGTGTGACTATAATAATATTATTTATGTTTATGACATACTTGACACTTGTGCTGATGGTTTACATGAACTGTCTAAAACTGGAGTCATCAAATTGCGACCCTTGGACAAACTTTATCTGGCTCAAAGATAGAAAATTTATTTTTGAAATATTATTTGGTTTGATATGGTTAATTTAATGAGGTTTTCATTAATTTTAATTAAATTTTTTGATTTCGTGTTCACTTTTCTTAGAGTTTAGATAAATATGTACATTACTCGTTGATGACTCCTGATTATTTTTTTAATTCCTAAAGTGACTCTCCACTAATATTACTTGGCAATTCTTGATTTAGAGTTATGTTCACGATTACTTTAAATTATTTACTACCCACCCTTACAATATTGGTAAAGTGTCAATTTCTTAAAAAAATTGGAAGCAACAAGATAACCTGTTTAACATAACCAAAATAAAGATTACAGACATAAATACGTAAATGTAGTCCCCAGTGGCAGCTCGTGCCTAGGTATACAAGTGTGCGCGCACCACATAAATTAACACAGATAAAAGAGTAAAAATTAATTTTCAACTTTTCACACAATTTTTATACAATTTAAACTTAACTATAATAAATTATTTTATAATATTGTATTAATTTAAAAAAAATTATGTTCACTTATGTACCCATAAATATTACTCCTACAATTTATTGAAGTTATGTAATAAATACACATCACTTGGTGAGTAGCCAGTCAAAATAATGTGTCTGTGTAAATTTGTTAGGTCACTGAGAGTGGGATTGACGAAAATTAATGGAATTGTGGTGGCAGCGATCGCTGCACACGCGGTAGTCTCGGCGTTCCATATCGGTTTTATTTTATAGATAAAAGACTTGAATTCACGTAAAAAAATATTTAATTTTTTTTTGTTGATATATACAATTTATAACAGGTTACAGTTGGTTTTTTTTATAATATTATTATTAAAATATATTTGCGATTTGTTATTTAAAACAATAAATATTAGTTTACAAAAAATGCTTATCATAATAAACACGTGAATAATTTGTAGAAGGAGTTGTTCATTAACAACACCTTAGAATGTTTTTTTTTATTTTTTAATAAAGCAAATCTCTGGACTAATTTTGCTTTAGACGACGTTTAACATTAATAGGGAGATATGAGGAGAACATGTTGATGATGAATGGATTTGGGTGGCTTAATAATTTAACGTGGAAACATTGGTACTGGTTTTTAACAAGTTCGTTGACGGTGGGTATTTTTAGTTCTTTATGAAGTGATTCATTGGTAATAAACCACGGAGCTCCGGTTTTCATTTTAAGGGTAATAGATTGGAAGGCTTGGATAGGACATATATTAGATGGCTTTGCAGGACCCCAAATCTATATGCCATAAGACCAAATTGATTTAATTATAGTTTTATATATTAGGGTTTTAAATTTGAGTTGAATTTTGGATTTAAGCAGTGGTCTGAGTAGGTGAAGTCGTGTATTTGCCTATTTACGTTTAGATTTTATATGTTGGGTCCACGTAAGACGCTTGTCAAGTATGATTTCTAAGTATTTTGTAGAGGGCTGAATTGGGATTGATTTGTAGTTTATTTGAAGTTGAGTGCATTCTTTAGGACTTAAAGATAAATTTACTTGGACTGATTTATCTTCATTGATTTTGATTTTCCATTTTTTAGCCCATGAATCAGTGGCGTATTTGATTTAATTTTATGGGGAAGTGAGTGATACTAAATTTACAAGCATTATACACTAGTTAAGTACAATATTTATATGTATATATATATGCATATGTTCTTGAATATATATACCTACTAGTCCATTTTATACTTACTTCTTTTATACATTACATATCTTGAGAAAGGTAAATAAAATACAATAAAGTTACAGTAAAATAATATTATATTTATTAAATTATAAAATCATTATTCCTTTTTTTCATTTGTGAGAATTTATCAATAATTCTGTCAATATCTATTTTTATTGATCTGTGCACATACAATAAAGCCAATCCGCTTAATCTATTTTGCCCTATTGTGGATCTAAGCCATGTTTACATCTACATAAAATAAATGAGAAATTTTTAAAATCGAAATAACTGAAGTTTATAAAAATCGTTAAATACTAACTATTTATACTAATCATAGGCGTAACTAGTCCTTTAAGTTAGGGGGTATAGATTCTTAGAAATTTTTTATAACAACTTTTTTTAATTAAATTATTATTTGTTTCTATTAATGTTCACAACTGGCTTGAATGGTTATTCGTTTATATGAAAAACTATATTTTTTTATATTGTAGGCAAAAATAAAGTTAATACTAATTTATTCATAAGCACATAGATTTACCCAAAAATTCTGGAGGGGGGGCTGAAGACCACTAAGCCCCCCTCTAGTTACGCCTATGAGGACTCCTGCTTTTATCGGTTTAGTGTCAGAGAATGATTTGGAGTGGCGTACTAAAAATGAGCAGTTTTCAAGGTAAGGTTTTAGAATTAAATATTAGGGAACTGAGAGAAAAAGCTTCAGTTTGTATAAGAGGCAATCGTGTCACACCCTGTCAAAGACTTGGGCAATATCTAAAAATACTTCAGGACAATACTGCTTGTTTTCTACTGAAGTGGCAATTTTGTCCATAATCTGGTGGGTTTGGTGGATTGTATTATGTTGGGAACGAAACCCAAATTGGGATTTTGGGAGTATATTTTTTTCTTTAATTATCGAAATTAATCTGTTGAGGAGTAATTTTTTAAATATTTTACTAAGCGTGGGTAGTAAACTGATGGGCCAGTATGAGGATATTAGTCGTTTTGGTTTGATTGGTTTGAATACCATTATAATTGTAGATTGTTTCCACATTGTTGGAAAAAATAACAGTCAACGCAGGGAATTGTATACATAATTTATGTAAAGGTTACAATTTACGCATATTATCAGGTATTATATTTGTAAGTATATAAAATACTTTTTAAATATTTATATTTTATAAATATTTCAATATATATTATAATACCATGATAATATTTTAGA